ATTAGTCTAGCATTGTTGGTTCATGGATTCGGAAGGCAAAACTGATCGTCAGCTAGATAAAGGTGTGGTTTTTACTTCCTTGATTGTTATATTTTTTTGTTTGTAAAGTTTTAATCTTTGTTGGCCTCAATTTGTGCCCTTGTGGCGATGTGTGCCGTTTTGGTGATCTGATTTGTAATTGCCATTGTTTGATCAAGCGTAAGTATTTTTTTCATGGGGTTTTTTTTAGCTTCCAATGCATTGACCGGTTGCATTTGTTTTTGGTGTTTCAGCTGTTTCTGTCTCAACAGGAGAGAAGACGAAGAAGAGAACACTTTCTGTGATAGTGATTGGAGGTGGAATGGCTGGGATTTCGGCTGCTCGCACTCTTCAAGATGCTTCCTTTCAGGTTTGTAACACGAGCAATGCAATCTTAAGGTTACATTGTATGTTTATGCCAAGTGCTTAAGGTCTCATTACTCGTGTGTTCTTTCGTTTTCAGGTTGTTGTATTGGAGTCTCGAGACAGAATTGGTGGACGAGTCCACACTGATTACTCATTTGGCTTTCCTGTTGATTTGGGTGCATCTTGGTAATATAACGAGTCTTTCGACCTTTCTTTCGTATTGATCGATGTTTGGATCTTTTGTTATCGATGCTAACTAAGCAATTTTGGTTTTGTGACAGGTTGCATGGTGTATGTAAAGAGAATCCTCTGGCTGCAGTTATTGGGAGATTAGGATTACCTCTTTATCGTACTAGTGGTGACAATTCGGTCTTGTATGATCACGATCTTGAGAGGTGTGTGTACAAACAGTTTTCGATGTTCCAAATGTAAATCGTAGCTCGTCATCTCTCATTGTTGAGCCTAACGGTGCAATTCTGTTTTCTACAGTTATGCTCTATTCGATAAAGCTGGTAACCAAGTTCCTCAGGAGTTGGTAACAAAGGTTGGCGAAAATTTTGAGCACATTCTGGAAGAGGTGTGTACTTGGTGACTCCAATTTCTCATTTAATCTGTTTCTAGATTATTCGTGTCTTTGATTTACTAGATACTTGTTTCACAAACGCAGATCTCTAAAGTCAGGGATGAGCAGGTTGAAGACATGTCAATAGCTCAAGCCTTTTCTATTGTATTTAAGAGGAACCCTGAATTGAGGTATATAAACATATTGTCTCAACTCAATGCTTTGACTTTTGTTACTTATCCGCTTTTATGATTTGTTGTATGCTCAATTATATATTTTCTCTTCCAGGTTGGAGGGGCTTGCCCATAATGTGCTTCAATGGTACTTGTGCCGCATGGAAGGATGGTTTGCTGCTGATGCTGAAACCATCTCGGCTAAGTGTTGGGACCAGGTTAGTAACTAGATTGCTATTTGTCCTCGGTGTGGTTGAGTTATGTTCCGCTTTTTGATTTGTCAGTGAAACATTTGCAGGAAGAACTGTTACCTGGTGGACATGGTCTTATGGTTAGAGGGTATCGTCCTGTCATCAACACTCTTTCAAAAGGTCTTGATATTCGATTAAACCACAGGTAAGATTCGTTTGTCAAAGGAGTTTCCATCATTTCCCGATTCCGCAGCTCTAAAACCTCTTGCGCCTTTTGTTTTGTCAGGGTTACCAAGATTGCAAGACGCTACAATGGAGTGAAGGTGACTACGGAAAAAGGAGACACGTTTCTTGCGGATGCAGCAGTCATTGCTCTTCCTCTTGGAGTCCTAAAGTCAGGAATGATAGAATTCGAACCAAAGCTTCCACAGTGGAAACAAGAAGCTATCAACGATCTCGGTGTAGGAATCGAGAACAAGATCATATTCAACTTTGACAATGTGTTTTGGCCAAACGTAGAGTTTCTAGGAGTGGTTGCAGAAACCTCCTACGGATGCAGTTATTTCTTGAACCTGCATAAAGCCACAAGCCATCCTGTCCTTGTTTACATGCCGGCTGGTCAGCTAGCTAGAGACATCGAGAAGATGTCTGACGAATCAGCCGCCAATTTTGCCTTTTCGCAACTTCAGAAAATTCTTCCTGATGCATCTACACCGGTACTGCTCTAATATATCTTTCTTCTAAGTCTCTATATTCTTTGCTAATGTTGTAAGGTCTAATGAC